CCGGCCAGCCGGCGACATCCTGCCTCGAATCGAATTCGCGCCCCGCCGCCTGCTTGCGCTCCCTATGCAGCTCGTAAACAAATCGGCTCGTACAACCCGTTGCCCCGCAACGATTACGTTTTCTCTTGCAACGTGTGCAACGGAGGTTTTAAGCACGAGGGAGGAGGAGGGAGGAGAGGGGAATCGGACCTCGTAGACATAAACAGAATTCGCGAACGGTGACTCGACGCGACCGGCTTATTTTCGATAATGACGAAAATATCGCCCGTTCTCGATACCAAAAGCGTTCGCCTTTCCCGCTTTTTTTCTCCTTTTCTTTTTCCTTTTCTTTTCGCCTCCGCTCTTCGTTCCGAGGAGAGAGAGAGAGAGAGAGAGAGAGAGAGATTGAATGGCTCTTTCGATAGAGATCATTCCCGAGGGCGATTCTGTGCCAAACGTATTTATGAAAATTTGCCTCTACGTTTAGTCGGGAAATAATTTAATTCGCTTATTCGAAAACGTTCGTGGCAACGGTACGTCATTTTTCAATACCCCAAATCCCACGCGGCTGGCAAAATCCCAGTTATTGCCACATTTCGAGTGTTAACCTTTATTAGGAAAGGAAGTCCTCGAGGACTTCTCGAATTGGTATTTTTTTTTTTTTCTAGCCGAATGGCTGTTAACTACCTGTTAAACACGAACATCGTCAAACCATATTATCGTATCTTCGGAGGGAACGGAATTTCTGCGGGGGGGGAAAGAATAACACGAATCGTTTAACGAGCATAACAATTAAGATTCTAATCGCGCTGATCGTAAATGCGTTTCGAACAAGCTTGGAAAATTATTCGAAGTTCAACCTTCCAGGAAAATAAGATTATATGATCAAGTAAGAGAACCCTCGTTAAAAGAATTTTCTCGTCGAAAATTCCGTGATTCATTCCGTGAAACGATTCCAAATGATTCCGAAACGAGCAGGAGAGAAATTCCAACCGATGTCGTAACCGATCCTCTAAATTATTATTCACGCGTATACGTGCAATACGCCCGAGCCCGAGCCCGAGCGATTAGACGTCGAGGTTGGCATCAAGGAGGCGGTGGAAAAGGAACGATAAAAAACAAAATAAAAAAAGAACGTTTTTATCGAAGTCACGGTGTAATCGGCTAACGACACGCGAAATTTATGTCGAGTCCTTCCTTGGCGCGATAATGCGATTCGTAAGCGTCGCTCGCCAACGAAATATATCTCGTATATTCAACGACGCGCCCACGTTGCACCGACTGCATCGAATCACGGAAACCCGCGCCCAGATACACGCAGCTGTTTGTCGCAGATTACGAGAGAGAACGACCAATCCCCCCTCCCCCCTATCTCCACCAATAACTCTTCCCCTGTCCCTAAAATTGTGCCAAATCGATATTTAAAAAAAAAAAAAAAATAAAAAGGCCTCGAGAAAAATTATTATTTCTTATTATTTCGAGATACGAGGGAATCGTCTGGTCTTCTTATCGCATCGCGTGGACAGAAAATTAGGGAATTTCGTTTGATCGCGCGCTATTCTCCCGTTTTCTTCGAATCTTTCTTCCCTCCAGAGGGAGGGAGAGGCGCGCATGGTGCGTGGACGATCGGTATTTTTATCGATCGGACGCAACGCCGCTCCCTCCTTAGAAAAATTTATTTTCGCGGTGACCAACGCGGTCCAGGAAGGAACCGAACCCGTCGACGACA